ATGAAGACATTGCCAAATTTTCAAATTCTTCCATGTACAAGTTGGCCACAATGGGAGACACAGGGGATCCCATGGCACATCCAAAGACCTGGTGGTAAAACGTGTCCCTGAATTTGAAGTAAGTTGTGTTGAGGCATATTTCTAACAGTTCACAAATGTGTTCCGGCAACAGTTTAGTTCTTTCAGCTAGCGTTTTGTCATCTAAAAGTTTTCTTCTAACAGCCTCTACAGCCCTGGCTGTGGGCACCGAGGTGAACAGGGCTGTGACGTCGAAAGAAACGACAGAAAGTCAGGGGCTTGTGTCTGTGGCCATCTTACCGTATCTTAGCAGAAGGTGGCGAAACCAATGCAGGTTCAAGTTCTTATTCATACATTAGTGTTTCATTTTTGCAGTCAAGAGGTCATTGATGAACCATGACTTTGTTTCATTGTGTAAAAAAGTAATTATTAAACCAAAGCGCATACAGCATGTTTTGCACTTGGAGCAGCAGGTAATTTTGTGGTTCATCGAGAAAGACTCTTAAAGAAGATTATTGCTGACAATGAATGGACAAAATGTACGAATATAATAAATGCTTTTTACTTCACACATCGGCATGAGCTGTATGGTGTGCTTCCGAGATTTGATGACAGCAGCATGCATCAATGAAATCGCACCGCAGTTTCTTTTTTAAGCAAAACTGTCAATCATGAACTCATTTAAAAGTCAACATTGTTTTAGCAAGCAAGTGATCTCAGGCTGCTCTCTAATTGCTTCCTTTCAGTCTGAATACGGAGCCGTAAGCAGATAAATGCATATTGCTTTCAGACTTGACATGATTTCATTACACAGTTTTCAAACTACTTCTGTTCTCTTTTTTGATGTGAACTGGTTCATCAAACACCACCTGCACCTTAAGGTTGCTTATTTGGGTGCAAAGGTGGCACGATCCAAATTTGTGTTTTTTATGTGTCTATTATCCTGTTTACAGGCAATTTTGGGAAAAAAAGGCATCCTACACTCTGAATTAGTTGCTAAACACAGGGCAGAGCGAGATAGACAACTCTTCACACTCACATTCACACCCTCACAGAGCAGGAACTTAACCCAAGCAACCTGTACGGAAGTCAGATGAGTGCTCCTATCCAAATTCAGGTTCACTTTTCAACTAATGACTAAAAAGATGGTGTGAATAAACCATAAGCTATGAATGTGCATCGGAACTCCTAAAATTGCATGTATGACACATTTAAGCTTAAGATGGTCAACTGAGAACTGGCTGCACTCTTGCTGTGCTACTCTAAAAAGTGTCTTGGAGCAGCATTCATATTTTCTGCCATGCAGGAGGTCTCATTTTGGCTTTCAGTGAGAAGTGAATGGCTCGCAGTGTCTGGTGCACATTGTGATAATCATTATGTAGTGACTCAGGGTTGGGTTGTGGGAGCTATGCAGTTTGTCTGAGGGAAAGTCTCAAACGGATGTTGTCACATCCTGATACCACTGTGTGAGGTGATCGGAATGAGAGGAGTCGAGACGATTTGCTTTTGCACTTTCACAATTCTTATCTTGTGCTGCACTCCTGAGTAAGGATTGTTTAATGGCCTCATGGCCGCCTGCCTCAGTCTTCTCACCTTGAGTGTGTTGACCTAAGTGTCAAAACATCCTTCATTTTCCTATCCATCAGTACTCTCTATGTGATGGATACTTTCCAAGATGACATATTATTGCCAGGATTTATTCACTTTCCACACTCCTGTGCCAAACAGACAGTATTCTGATATTAGTGAATTCCCTTTCGGAGATTGGGGATTTTCTGTCACTATAAAAAAGCCCTGAGAGTAATTGTTGCCTCCCTTCCACATTAAATAATAATTTCAGCATATATTGAAAAGGAGAGGAGACAAGTTTCACTCCTTCATTTGACATGACATGGATGATTGTTAAGTAAGCTCTGTAGGTGTGCAACATTCGATGCGCAGCAACATTTGTTGGCAATCAGAGCTGACCAGTTGGACCACAGCACAGCATCTCAAGATGACACAATGACTCTCCTCAGCAGGGGTTTCCACATCAATGCTGCAAATTGAAGATACAGTCCTATTTTCGCTGGGCCCGTGAGTCATTGGTCATTTAGAATGGTCATTGCGAAAGTAACTAGGGCAACAATTGCGTGTGGACGAAAGTTTACTTTGGACTTAGTTGATTCGGTGTTTATTAATTTCTGACTAACCTTTCACAACCTAAAAACTGTCATTGAAATATTGAGTGTAGTTTGGTGATATTTCACATACATCATTTACAGGAAACAAACAAAGGTTCTAAATGACTCTGGCAGAGCTTCCTGTATGCAATGCCTTCCTGTGATGTAAATTCAAGTATCTTGGGATTTTTGTTGTTGTTGTTGTTGTTGTTCTCTAGGTGTGGCAGTGCGGTGGCAGTATGGAAGTCCTACCGTGTGCGAGAGTGGCCCACATCGAGCGCACCAAAAAGCCCTACAACAACGACATTGATTACTATGCCAAGCGCAATGCCCTGCGAGCAGCTGAGGTGTGGATGGACGAATACAAATCTCACGTCTACATGGCTTGGAACATTCCCATGAATGTAAGCATTACAGGCTCCATGTCTTGGCTCCATCTACCTTTTCCTATACTTGCGCATGCAGACAGGCAGAGCGGATCCCTGCAGGCAATGTAATCAAATGTCAAAGTTCTATATTCACTCAACTTGACCGTCACATTGGTGGCACAATGAAGGCAATGCAAAGACAGACAAATGACAGGGGCCTCATGTGTAATCAGTCAATTTTGAAACACATCACTTAGCTTAATTGCCTTCAATAGTCTATTAAGATTGGCTGTGGAAAAAACAAACAAACTGCTATCATTATTTTTTTAAAGTACATAGTGAGTCCTAATTGGTGCCTTTCAGCGATGCACAATGGGATGATAGTGAAGGACATCAGCAAAGCCCTCTGAGCACTGGCCAAAACAGCTGTTCATAAGTGACTAATAGTGGTAAAGCAAGACCAAGAAGAAAGGCCCAATATGTAATGGCACCACTTCCGTCCTGTAATGCTTTTACAAACACTCATTGTTCCATTATCTGCACTGGAGAGATTGGTACAATGGTTATCCCAACTTCCCTTGTTCACAAAACCCCCATATGCACAATCTTTCATTGCGCTTATCGACTAAGTTACCCGCTGCGAGCACGACTGCACTGGTGCAGAAGGGCTTTATGAATCACGACTGCGGCTTGGCTGAAATGGAATGCATTTGTTCTTGTCGCTGCATGGCTACAAAAAAAGCTGTACCATGTAATTGCAGTTGCTACGGAGAGAATGTGAGATTACTTTCTTTCGAGATTTTTCCACTGATTTTTTCACAACAAACCAAGGCAGGTAACAAAAATACTGTGGCCGCATCTTTAAGAAGTATTGTGCACAACGAGAGCATGTACAGTGGCTTTATTGGTTTTGCAGACCACATAGAGAACCAAACCCCACATATCGTATTGTATAGGCACACGAGTAGAGATGTCAAATTATGGGTCATGCAAACTGTGACCCTGAGCTGAGTTTCGGAAGGATTTTGGGGCATATTCGTCCGTGTTCTTATGTCAGAAGAGATGCGCTGCCGTGCAAGTTTTTGGTTGTGTAGATTCTCCCCTTGTGCCACTTGCGCACCTTCATGAAATGTATGCACTCTGGGTGGAACAACCTTGAAATGAGGGCATTGGCTGACAAATTTGTCAGTGCATCCATTCGACCATAGACTTAAGCATCTATTCTCTTCCACGCTCCAGGGGGCTGTACAAAGGTCTAGCGCCTCTCGAAGGCAAAACACCCTATTGCATTTTTGAGTCATTTCACAGCCGCTGACAACGAGTGATGGCCGTCACCGGCCGACTCGGCTGATTCGTGCTGACATGTAGACACGGCGGGAGAACACCTGTCCTCATCAACTGTGCATCGGCTGTATATTGTCCCTACAATATTACAATGATGGCCAGACATTGACATCATAGCATAATAATTCTTATATGACCTGTGAGAAGCATTTCCATAATGCTGATGGGACTTGAAGTGAAAGCGCTGATGACAAACAATACAGTCATATTAATAATGGGGCGTGAGTTATAGATTTTTGTGTTTTGCAACCGATGCACCCCTTGCACATTGCGTTGCTCGACAACCTGGTCAACACTCAGTTTGTACCATGTCCTAAACATTCACTTACTGGCAATCTCTTTTACAGGGCAGTAAGTCACGTGGTCCGGCATCTTTTAGTGCAGATGCGGTGCTATTTAATTATTGTCCTCCATTTTACCCCAGGAGACCAGCCCACAATTTAGAGAGTGCAGCTCATTCATGCATTTTACACTATAGACAGCAACTGAACCAATCTGCATCTGCGGCAGAGCTGCACACACTGGTAACTTCTGGATCCATGACGCAAGTTAATTTCACAATCAAATTGTGACATAGTTTTCAAATGGAATCTCAATGGAAGTCAAGCCTCATGAAAACTCCACAATCCGAAAATTAGGGCCACTCTCAGACTGACTGAAACACGTCTCTTTGGTGGTTGTGCATGAACTTCCTGGTTACAGATGGTGGGTGTGTCTGAAGTCTGGACGGGAGAATCACACAGCATCTTGAAAGTATGCAAGAAAGTTGTGCAAGGAATTGACTTCAGCGTGAATGGGGGAGCTTGTCTCTTTCAACCTTGCTCATGTGCACTTTGACAGTATGCAAACTAGCATCTCTCCAACAGATAGTTGCAATTAATTTTGTAGTACTTGAACAGAACTATACATCGAGTACACCGCTGTATATTTTTGTGTTACCCAAATTAAAAGTTCTCACTTGTCAAAAGTATTTCACCTATGTTGATTAACATCTCTTGACAGAACCCAGGGGTTGATTTTGGTGACGTCTCTGAGCGCTTGGCGTTAAGGAAAAGACTGCAATGTCGAAGTTTTCACTGGTACCTTGAACACGTCTACCCTGAGATGCGAATCTACAACAACACCATCACATATGGAGAGGTGAGAAAGATCATTTGTAATTCTAACAGCGGCATGCTTTCAACAGACAAAGAGACCTTTAACTTTGGCTCATACTACAGAAAATTAGTCCGTGAAAACTATGTGTGGGGTGCTCATTACTGATAAACCTTGGTCCACAACAAACCTCCACGGAGATAATTAATATCCTGGTCTTTAAAAAAGTGTTCAAACACATTCTGACAATTCCAGGCTTTTCCTTCTCATTACGTATTACACAGAAAAAGATACGGGCTGTACATGAATTATAGATTGTATAGTGTACAGGTCCTCGTGCCAAGCAGAATTCTATGTTTTTTTTGTTTTTTTTATCCAAAATGAATTCTAATCAAACTCTTATAGGTCCTCTATTCCAATGAGATTGCCATGGCCCAGAGTCTTATCTGTCAGTGCCTTTTTCTGCGGTGCAAACCAAACCATCGGGCCAGAACCTTCTCGACTACTGCGCATGATGGACATGTCACGACCAGGAAATGAACTCATATTCATTCAAATCACATAGAACAAAAGCTCATGCTTGATGCACGGCACCATCTGGGAGCATAGCTAACAGGCAGAGACAGGGAGTGGTCACAGCATAATAATATCCTATTATGACATAGAATGGGTTTTTGCTTTGGGATTAAAAAAAAAAAATCAATAGGCTGGACATGCATAGAAGTAAATGATTCCCTAAAAATCAGAGACAGTTTTTGTTTTATTTTTCCTGGTGTCAGACATAGACAAGAACTAGAAAGGTGCAAAACTGAGAAACACATTCAGCGTTAAAATGAACTTGAAAATATATCGAACCATTTGTCTTCCAATTTGAATTAAACTAAAACGTCACAAATTTGGAGATGTATGAAGCGATAAAATGACCTGAAATCTACTGTCAAGATGACAAAGGTACGCTCCTCCGGATACAAACTTTATAGAGCAGTTCACCTACTAATAAGGGGACTGAAACAAACAACTGAATGAGGCCCTGGTGAAAGCATCACAAAATGAGTCATAGGCTAGATGCAGTTATTATCAAGAAATTATTTAAATATTATGACTGAGTCACTTTAATGTATTCAGTGTACCTGTTCCACTACTTTTGCTCATCCAAAAATATGGTGTATATGATGTATTATACTTGAAAATGAAAGTAGAAGTATTGGGCACTTGTCCAATATTCATCTGTTAAAGGGGAAGCCAACCCCAAAATGTTCTTTACAATAATGTGTTATATCTTGCCCCACTAATCTAAACACACCATTAATATTGTGTTTGTGAAATTTGAGTTACTCACTGTGATCAACTGTGATGTCATTTTCAGTCGACAGTAAGTGGCAAAATGGCCGCCCCCCTCAAATGGACAAAAACGGGTGGATTTTGCTGCTCAACTCATATTCCAGAATTCAATATGAAGCAAAATGCCTCGCTTTAGACTAGTGGAGACGCATAGAACATAGTACTGCGAATTTCTCCATTGTGAGACAAATAAAGGTTTTCTTATCTTCTCATCTTACCGTCAAGACAACTTTTGTTCAGTGAGCAACTGTGATGTCATTTTCAGTCGACAGCAAGTGGCAAAATGCAAAAAAGTAAATACGAAATCATTTACTTGTATTCTTGGACAGAAACATCTTTTAATGCTTGGTTACCGTAGTAATCTCCATTAATTCTGAAGCCAGAGAAACTAAGTGAGCAAGCTCTGTTTAAAAAAAAAAAAAAAGTCTATTATTTTGATTGCTAATTTCTAATCAAATTGACGAAAGGTTGAAAACTCACTGAGAAGTTCATATGAAAGAATTTCATGACGCAATTGATGTTTTGTCGCTATGTTCAACAGGTGTTCTAAAAACCTTTCATTATGTAGTCAAAAATTTCAAAGCTAATATTTCAAATGAATGGACCATTTGACCTCATATTGTGTCTCTCAGGTGAGGAACAGCAAAGCAAGTGGCTACTGTCTGGACCAGGGCTCTGAGGATGATGACAAAGCAATCCTCTATCCGTGCCATGGCATGTCCTCACAGGTCTGTTCCACAATTAAGAAGGGTGTACTTATTTGCAATGTTTTGTCATTTCTTTTATAATAATTGCATTGCTCAACACTACTGATGTATGCATTTGTTTATCCCTAATTCCTCTGCTTGATTTTGGGAAGCAATCAAAGTTGAATCATCAGTGGTGTTCACTGCATAGAAATGATAAGCAGTGGTTTAAGACTCCATGCACTCATATTTGTAGTTTTCAATGTGGCACATTCCAAAACACAAAATAGAGATTCACAGAGATAATGGATTACACTTACTTACAGTAGCATGTCGTGGCAACAAAGTGAAAAACAACATTATTGGCAATTTTTTTGCGTTAACTTTTTCATTCACTTTATGGAGCTGCTACATTCGTGAATCGAAATCTGTTGGTTTTTGTTTTTTTCTGTCTATATTTAGCTCTCACCTCTAAGTGTTAGAGTTGTTGATTTACAATGACTTGCGGGAAAAAGTGGCTGTCCTACAAAACCAATATGCTGATGTCATGCTATTTATTTAATTTGCTGAAAAAGGATTTTAAAATGTTGGTGCTTCACCCTGCGTCGTTTTTACCTACTCATTAATTTCTGTGAAATGGTCTTAGCATGTCAGAGGTCCCATCTAGATGAATGGAACTAAAATGTTTCATGTGAATCCAATTATTTTAAAACATTTGTTTCGCTGAGCTATTTTGTGTTTCACACATGAATCCCAACAAAACTACAGTGGAATAAAATGCCTGAAATGCACGACGTGTGTATTTCATATATGCATATGGATTTGAATGGTAAATAAATTGCATACGCATTGAGCTTTTGTCCAGTTACCGAGCATGCGATAAAATCTCTTTCAACCGCCAGCCTCAACACTGAAACTTATACCGATGCCTCAGGCTGCCATGCAGTGGTAGTGCACAATAATTCATCGATATTCTGGCTACATCGGTGTGCAAACCTCTGCAGAGACTCATGCTGCATTGAAAATGCTGGATTTGGGAGAAATTCTGACATTGTCTATGGGTGTGTGTAATGGCGTTTTTACACACCGAAATTGCTTCTTCACCTCAACAACAAAGCCCTCTAAGATTCAAGATGATACTTCTGTGCAACTAATGTGATCATGAAAATGCTGTAGCTTTGTGAGGAAAAGAACTTGCATGGTGAAGTGGAACAAAATCATTTCCATGAACATGCGACCGATGAGTAAAATGGTGACATCCCTTAAGTGCTAGATGTGTTTCTGCCTTTGGTGCAGGATAACAAAAGCCAAACCCTTGGAGACCATGTAAATGTTATTCATGTCTTAATCCTAAACCCTCTGGGGAAATAAACAAACAGAGAGGGATACCTTGTCTTAGTGTTATTTGATTACAGCGATGAGCAGTGTAGGACAATTCAATTTTGTGGCGCACGGTGATCTGTTTTTTTTCTATTGTATTTCTCTTAGCTTTATTGCTTTTCGCCGCGAAATGCCCAACGTAAACTTCCATTATTCCTTTTCTTTTGGCCCTCCCAATGACTTCATCTTGCATTGCTTATTCATGCTCAGAGCGGCTAAAGTAACACATGGACAAACCAAATGCAGGTCCACAGCTGTTCCAGCATGTCAAGCCCTGCTTAAAATGTTTGCAATAATCGGTTCCGTGAACATATTCACAACAGCTTGCCGCATCCAGACACCACAAATGTACAGTTCTGCAGAGTATATTGTATCGACACCGCATCTTACAACAACAGCGGCACGCTGTTAATGAGCTAATTAAGAAACGGATTAGTTTGACCCCCCACCAACTCGAAACCTTTCATGATCTCAGAGAGGCAATGAAGCGTCGCATATTGCAGAGACACAGGTTAATTGGCTCGCATTCATTATTTCTCATCGCCTCATTTCGAATGCATTACTGTATAAAAGACCCAAATGTAAAGCGGCATGAAGAGAATGATATGGCATTATTCATACACCCAGCCATGGCACAAACAATTTACCATTCCATCAGAAAGTTGTATAGAAGCAAGCCATCTGCATGCACGACAGACCTTTAGGCTACCACCCACAGACAAATTAAAATGGGTTCACAGCATGATTGTCCCAAGAATATTGACTCATCAGGCTTGTGAATAGCCCATAACCGCATCCAATGAACCTGGAGTGACATTAAAGTTGTACTTAACAGATGCCCTAAATGTTCTCTTTGGCCCTTCAGGGAAGAACATTTGATTGGATTAAATAGCAGTAAATAGCTCATCCTTACATGCTGCAACACCTACACAGGCCATTCAGAGACTCCGAACACAGTGAACCCTGAAAAAAGCGGCGTTAACTATCCCATGCTTTAATATTTGAGAGAGAGAGAGAGAGAGAGAGAGAGAGAGAGAGAGAGAGAGAGAGAGATGCCTGCTTTTGTCTTGTTGGCATGTCATTTTTCATGAGGGATCACTTCTCTAAATAATACACCCAATGTCTCCTGTATCCTTGCATAATAGAAACGCCATTTTATCAATGAGCCTTTAATAGGCTGCATTAAACACCGAGGGATCCGATTCTTCCAGTGGCGTCGCCACCTTGTGGTGTTGTAGATCACACAGCGCAGTATTGTGGAGCAATATGACAATGTTGCAGATTGTTGCATCATGAGTCGCTCTTATCCAAAGTGACATTCAAGTGAGAACCAACACCCCTCAGTGTTTCACACTAGTCGAGATCACTGCTATTACATGCAATAAAGTTGAAGGACTTCGGATAACTGCAAGTGAGATGTTGAAGTTACAGTACAATGTTTCATAGATTTCTCAGAAGTACTGCATGTCCCTTCTTGGGCATTTTCATTCCTTGTACCCAGCCTATTAGGTCGCCACATCAACAACGGTCAAAGGGTAACACTAGATTTGCTCATTGATTGCATCATCAATTTAAGATACAGTACGTATGCATGTGTTAGGAGGTTGTGGTAGGCAGTAGTTCTCAATGAACAGGGTAACGGTAACGTACATTCCATGAAGCTGCAAGCCTCAATTATTTGCATGCTGAAGTAAATACTGTATAGTGAATGATTTAGATTTTTTTCTTCTCCACTCTTGTATCGTGTGAAATAATTATCTACTGTATATTATGACCACCAATACACCACAAACAAAGACACTTAATGTTTGAGCGACTGCCTGAATTTCCTACTGTATCTTTTCAACTTTTTTTTTTGTTTTCGAACCATTCTTGATGTTGACAATTATTTTTTGCCACAGCAATGACTACTATAACCATCCTTGAACTGAACAATGAGACACACTTCTTATCTTTGGGTTCCAGCTTGCGCGCTACTCTACTGATGGAGTCCTACAGCTTGGACCCCTGGGATCCACCACCTTCCTGCCTGACACCAAATGCCTTGTTGATGACGGCAGAGGACGCATTGCCAGCTTGAAAAAATGTGAAGCTGTTGCCAGGATTTCCCAGCGGCTTTGGGATTTCACACAGGTAAAGAAAAGCAATGTTGCGCAATCAGTGGATGTACTGATCGTGGCATCGGAAAAAGACTTGAAGATAAGTTGGAGGAGACCACGTATGTCTTAAATACATCAATCTTTTAAACAACCTATGGCAAAACATATACAATTAAAAGTTATTGATAGTGTTCCCAAAGAATATCTTGTTTACAATCACATAGTGATTCATTGACTGGTCTCCCTTCCGGAGTTTACCCTGGCCAGGTACCTCACCCATTTCAGGTGGGATAGAAAATTGTGAACAGAAGAAACGCCAGCTCAAAATGAAAAAGATAACTGCAAATCTACATGAAATTGTATTAATACTTGTGATAGCGCGTCGACCTCACAGTACAGAGACCAGGTACCTCGCCCATTTCAGGTGGGATAGAAAATTGTGAACAGGAGAAACGCCAGCTCAAAATGAAAAAGGTAACTGCAAATCTACATGAATTTGTATTAATACTTGTGATAGCGCGTCGACCTCACAGTACAGAGGTGCAGGGTCGGGCTCCGGCCTCCCTGTGTGGAGTTTGCATGTTCTCCCCAGGCCTGCGTGGGTTTTCTCCGGGCACTCCTGTTTCCTTCCACATTCCAAAAACATGCATGGCAGGCTGATTGAAAACTCCAAATTGTCTCTAGGTGTGAGTGTGAGCGCGGATGGTTGTGAGTCAATGTGTGCCCTTTGATTGCCTGGCAAGCGGTTCAGGGTGTGCCCCGCCTACTGCTCGAAGACAACTGGGATCGGCTCCAGCACCCCCTGCGACCCTTGTGAGGATAAAGTGGATCAGAAAATGGATGGATGGATACTTGTGATACTATATTCTGGACCAACGCACTGAGCCACATTACGGCCGGGTTCAGTGTATCATTGGACAAAACATTTGCATAAGATCTCAACCTGATTGGATAGGTTGCTAAAATATGTTCCGATGTTGATCTCCATATGCTCTCTGCAGTAATATTACCATTGTTCCATGTCACAGGTCCATGCAGTTTTTAGACTTGAGCTAAAGAAATCATCAGATTCACTTGCAAGCATACCTTTGAAGCACGTGGTCTCATTCCTCTTGAGCGGCGCATCAGGGTTGAGCACTCACAGTTGACTGCAACATGAGAGCTGTGCACCAGAGTTGTTTTACTAAACCAAACCTGAGAAGTGTAAACATAACAAAAAGACCTAACAAATTTCCACTCAACCATTTAAATATTCAAGGTCAGTTTTAGCGAAGAATATGTCGCTTTTGAATGGTCTGTTTTTGATTCACAACTGTGGAAAGAGTTTGTCCAATTGTTACAAATGTGTATATACAGGTATATTCTATTCTGTATATATTCTACACACACACACACACACACACACACACACACACACACACACACACAGATCAATGTGACAAACAGCTCCAGACCATGTTGCCACTTGGTCATTTGGTATTCTCTGTGAGTTGGCAAATGATCTGAACAAATTTGCTCCCATATCCTATTACGCAGAAATGTATAGATTCATAAATTCCCATCAATGTCACCATAAAAGGAAAATGTATTTGTGATGACCTTACACAACACATCTGAACAAAACCGATTCGGGGACCATTAATACAGAATAAAGGTAACTGTGTACTGTACATTTATGAGCAGGTAGTTCTACAATGGAAAAAGAAAATGACAAAAACATCCTGGCTTTTTGCACAATCATATTCTCTGTTAGAAAAACCGATAACCGATGGTTTGCTTGATCTTGATTCTCCCAACACCTCCCCCAACCCCTCCCACACACAGAACGGTCCAATCATCAGCAGGGACACGGGTCGTTGCTTAGAAGTGGAAATGTCTAAAGATGCTAACTTCGGCCTTCGCCTAGTGGTGCAGAGATGCTCAGGTCAGAAGTGGATCATCCGAAACTGGATTAAGCATCCCAGACACTAAAGCCATGGGAAAAACCCTGAGACTTTTTGGGGTCATTTTTCAAGTCACAGTTGGGAATTGGAAGATGTGGTATGACACCACTTCACTGTTGGGCTTCCCTCATGTGACAGAGCTTTCCAACTCCTCGACTTCTCTGTGACTAGACTTGGAAAAAGTTCCCATTTCTGACCTGTATAAAGAGGTGTACAGTGACACACGGGCGCCACTTGTAATTACTGTATCTTATTTATATTGTAAAGGTATCCGGTTCATCTTTGTATATGAATGTGAGTGTGTGCAAGTGTGTACTGTTTTGATGAGAGGATCTGAGCAAATCAAATATTATCAGAGTCGTGTATTGTAATTTACCACATTAAATGATTATTTTGGGGTTCTGGAAATTGCGTCTGACATATTGCGCAATCCTGGTTACTCAAGTATATAATAAGCTTTAAAGGAGGTTGTTATTTTCTCCTCAGGGCTCACGGTGGTTTCAGATGCAGTAACACAAACTACAACAGTACCTTGTTTTGTTTTAACATTAATGCTCAGTTGGAATTGTGTGCCTTTTTTTTTTCAGTGTTTGCTTCATCTGACCAGGGAATGTGAGTCCCTAAAGCATGTACAAACTATTTGTAAGTTAATATCTAAAGCCATGAATAAAACAAGACAAAATATAGTAATAAAGCCGACTGTAAGAATGAAGGATTTAAACTGATATATTAAAATCACTTTTATGATCACATGTCTCACTTTACTTCACACAAGCTGAGTTACTTTCTGTTGTACCTTTTTTGATGTGTATTTTGTATGCTGGTAGTACAGTATTTATCAAGTAAAAATGATAATAGATTCCTACCTAAAAAGCCAACGGTGCCGCAACAACATATGACTGAGAGTGTGTGCTATTTATGCCACCAGGCTATTTTATGTTTTTTATTTTCCTACTTGGATTTCCCTTTATTTTTCAGTTGGGCTTTACAGGTTATAGGTCACACAAAAGACTGTTGGAAATAAATGATTACTACTTCATTTAAATTGTAAATGTAGGTTTGTGCTTCTGAGAGTGACAGCTCACAAAATTTAAGCCACACAAAACGTGTCATAAAAGATATTTCAAATCCAAACGACAAACTACAAGTTTTACCCTTTGAAGTAACCCCACTGGAGTCTCACACACTTTTCCAGCCCCATCCGCTACGCCTCTATGCACGCCTGGAAGGATTCTTGGAAGGACTCAACAGCGTCTTTAAAAATAGCCCCCTTTTTTGACATTGGGAAAAAGGGGGGAAGAACATGGTGTCATGTGAGGTGAGTAGAGAAGTTGCTTCCGCACGTGGATGTTTTTCTGTCGGATGCTCAGCATCTGGCATCGTCACGTCACTGCATCTCATTCACTAAATATGTGTACGAATGTTTCCACTCTGTGCACAAATTAAGCATATATCATAAATCACGCTTGGATTCCTGACACGTGCATCCTGACCCATTGTCTTCGCACAATTGTGAGTATGTTGATGAATCAGAATTCATTCTAAATGACAGCCGGAGCCCGCGGCGTGTTCATTTGCATAAGCCCCACCAGTATTTCGATTTAAAAGGGCATCCGTTTGTCTCCATGTCAGCGAATGCGTAGAGGTTTAAAACTGAGAGACACAGCGCCAAAATATTCCAAACTTTCTCAAGATTTATTCTATTTTCAAAAGGGTGGCATCATTGCAAAGCGTCATCAGCCAGCAGTTCCGATATGGAATTCAACTAAACTATTTGCGTTGGCTCAAACGCTCAGAAAAGGACTGACGGCGAAGAGTCATGTGTCTCCTTGGACACTTTTGTCAAAATGTGAGATGCATTATGTCTGGGATGGAGTGCCCTGCCAAGATAGTAATTCAGTAAGCCACTACATTTATTTCCAATATATTTTTTGAAGCAGTTACAGTATGTACATTTGCAGTCTGTCTTTTGCATTCGAGTGATAGACATCAAGTGACAGGAGTGCAGTGGGTCACCTTGCCTGTTGGGAGTCATAGTGCAGCTCACACTAAAAACGGGCCTGTAATTCACAATAATGATTTTTGTATCTTCACTCCACAGGTAATGCAGTTGCCGAAATGGTTCTTTTGCATGGCTTACATCCTTGAAACCTTGAACATTTGTGCTATTGCACAGACAATTGAACTCACATTGTAACTGTCCATACCCTGGTAAGACGATTCATTTCTCTATGATGACATTTTCTCAATAAAGAGGCAAACGTTTGTTAGATTTTTAAGCGTCATAATTATGAGTTATAATAATACTTTTGTTTTACATACTTACATTTTCTCAGCTGAGATAGTGAGATGGTGGTCGACTGGTTGGCATGTTCGCCTCACATTGCAAAGGTCCTGGGTTCGATTCTGGGCTCTGGCCTTCCCGTGTGGAGTTTGCATGTTCTCCCCGTGCCTGCGTGGATTTTCTCCGCGCACTCCGGTTTCCTCACACATTCGAAAAACATGCCCCGTGGGTTAATGATCACTAAATGGTCCTTAGGTGTGATTGTGAGTGTGAACGGTTGTTGTTTGTCTGTGTGCCCTGCGATTGGCTGGAAACCGGTTCAGGGCGTCACCCCGTCTATTGCCCGGAGTCATCTGGATTGGCTCCAGCACACCCGCTAGCCTCATGAAGATAAAGCGGTTCAGATAATGGCTGATAAAGGCTATGGTATCCTGCTGTTTGAAGTTGGCAGTTCCCTGCTCTATCGCAAAATTCAGCTGACAAGCGCAGCTTCATTGGAAGGGAATAAGCTGATGTTTTTTTCTGGAGGGTGTAGGGTGGGTGATCGTCACTCAGACTCATGTGTTGACCAAACTCAATCGCAAAATGGATGCGGTTTTGGAGTCTCTCTGCAAATGGAACGGAACAGAACAGAGCATTTGGCGTCCGGCCTTGAAGGCTTGACCTAGGATTCGGCTAATTGACAACATTGACTGAAACGTCTTTCAAGGCTGTCTGAAATTCTTGACGGCCTGATCCCAAAACATCTGTTATCTGGACTTTCCCCTGGATGAAAAATACACTTGGACGCTAGCATTCCTATTAGCCCCTTACCTTTCCTTCCTGAGTCCGAGACTGGTGTGCCAAGTACGTCTCCATAGAGACGATAAGCTTGGTGATGCAGACCCATGATATTCATGCACATACACACCCATTGATGTGACTGCCTTCGTTGGATTCCTATTCCCTCTTCACTACGGACATAACATAACATAACAATGAAAAGACTGAGCTACTAGCCAGACACTTGGGAGTTGTGTTCCCCTATCACCCCTTCCATCCTTGTTCACTCCATGTAAAGTCTCGAGATCTGTTGTACCTGTATTTTAAATGTACACTGCATGTGCTCACATCATGCTCTCATTCAAGGAGAATAGTCAGAGTCTGTTGAGGGTTTTTTTTTTGCTACTCTTCACTATTTTTTTCCTTTCACATCTAAGATATTGGGATGCCAAACAGCGAACCATCAGGCTTGCCGTTCTGTGTCCCTCTGTTGGTCATTGTTTTTGGTTATGTTTTTTCTGGATGGGCTGTAACCGGGAAAGTAAATTCTTTGTGTATTTTCTACATTTGGCTGATAAATCTGATTCGGTCTACAGTTAGTGTCCGACAGCCTCAGCAGTCCCGTATGCCCAAAACATAGTCCATTTTGTGAATTTGGCCAATTTCTTTTCTGTAGCCAAGACTTACAAAGTTGTCTTACAGTCAATCCCTGTGTTCACAATGGGCCTGATTGGGATGAGGCTGCTGAATCCCGAAAAATTATAGGTGCACAAAATTTCAACCTGCAGTTTACCACAGATGCCAATTGGTCTCTGTGATATTCTGGATTATATTGGATTGACTTCTACAGATGAAACATGGACAATGATGGAGCAGTCTTCGATCATGTTTGTTCCCACCGGTAAATTGAGTGTGCACATTTAAACAGTAATTCTACTCCATTCAACTTTACAGTTTCCCTACCCCGACCCCACATGCACATTTATAAATGAAAATCCGCAATTTAGAAAGACCCAATTTAAATCCACCCTAAGCCTGTTTTTATAGCATTTGTGGCACTTTAACATTATTTTAAGGTTTTAAAACACACATTAAGGGCATATATTGAGAGAGCAAGAGCAATAAATAATATAAAATTATTTTTTAAACTGTTTCATAATACTTATTGGGGTCACTATCATGCCACTCAGTCAATGTTTGGTATTATTACCCCGTGCATGATTTACGGAGTTTGTGTAAATAGAGTTTGCCATGGCAGGCGTGTTCTATGCAAATAAAATTAAACATGGCTTTGGTTTACAAGAATTGTAGGCGGTGAGTGAGAGTTGTGGGCATAAAAATATACTTCCACTACCACGAATGAATGCCTCCAAGTTGTGTCCTCTGACTGCACATACTGTTCGTTTTTGTTGCATACTTACTCATTATGGCTGACAGGGCTTCTCATCCGTACCTTGACTGGTGTGGCAAATTTTTAGACAATTTAATCATCCCACAGAGCAGCTCACTGAGCAGCCACAGCAATCATACCCTGTCAAATCTGTCCATCCCGCCCCACCATTTTGTTTTATGACTATCCCATTTTGTCCACGATGGCAATAAACAGGGATGTCGTGCTCGCCGGGGACATAGTGCAAACATATCATACTTTTATTTAATGGCCAGTATTTTTCATTGCTGTCATAAGGCATTGGATAAATCTGCACTTTTTCCTCCATCCGGCATGAAAACATGGAATTTAAAGTTTTTCAATGTGAAACAAGTAGTTTCCCTTTAACATGGCTGAAATGGGAAACTAATTAGCAAGCGATTGATACCAGTGATATAAAAAGACAGTAGAAACAACATATGTGAACACTTCAACAGAAAAGCCCAACCTCGTTTGACTTAAATCCTGGACCTATATGACCAATAATTTGAAACACATCTGTATCTTAATCAGAGATGGGGCTCTTGATTCGTGTGACTTGAACTCAGTTGCTATTTTTAGGACTGGTGACTTGCTTGCCAAAAACTTGACTTGGGGCTTGTGACTCGACTTGACTTCGACTTGAACTATGACTTGACAATACAATGTCAAGTCATCTTGTTTATAACTTGAAAACTGCATTTTAACACATGTTGAGTTTTTTGGAAAGAAAGAAAAATTAGGCCTTTTGTTTAATTCGCGCCAGCCTAGCAACCTAGTAAGCAGCACTTGTTAGTGTGAAGTGGTGACGTAAACAACAGTGTGGGAGCCACTCACAGGATCATTAATTTGAATTACCGGATTATGATGTTAAGGACCTTGACAAAAATGGGATGGCAAAATCTCATGGAATGCGGACACAACAATGACAATGTCTAACTTCATTTGTCATTGTAAAACCCACAAACAGATAAGCGAACCTTGTAGTAGCAGCAATAAAAACACTGGTTTGAGCCAAGTAAAAAAGATGTGATTGTGAATATTTCAAGGGAAACTCAATTTATTTTTATCTATTTTAGCAGTAAAAAGGGAAAATTGTGTCTATAACCAACTTGAGAACTCCTTTATTTTTCATGTACAAGGAACACCTTAAAAAAAACGCATTTTGCCACTTGCTGTCTACTGAAAATGACATTGCATGTCTTCAGGTAACAAACAATCATGGCTCAGCTTGCGAACATTCCATGAGGTGTGAGTCCATGGGATTTCATTTTCAGCTTACAGCAAGTGGCAGAA